ACTGTTTGGGCATCTTTATATCCAAATTGCCTTTATCTACTCGTAAAATGAATAATTTTGTTTTGAAACAAACAGTTGTTGATTTACAGTATGCGGGGCCAAAGGATTTATAAAGATTTGAAATGCCACAAATTGATTCAGTGTCAAAATTAATACAAATGTCAGTTCCCAGTTTAAATAAGTTTCAAGGTGACAATGTGTCAACGCTGCGAAATCGGTTTAGTGCGTTTACATGTCGATAAACATTTTATTTCGCATAATGCGTCTAAATTTATCAGAAAGCAACTTATGTGATATTTTAATAACAATGTTTATATGACTATTAACCATAATAAGAGAGTAATGACCATTTTACAATTTATATATCACATTAATATGAAACTGCAATGGAGCAATTGTTTGTGATAGAAACCTAGGCATTAGGTCGGGGAATTTTTATCGTGATGACGTGCACGCCACTTTGTTTGGCGTTGACTATATGTTGGTAAACAACTTCACCATAACCTAACTTTCTACTGTCATATTTTTGTTAAAATGCCATAACCAATGTTTTAAGACAAACAACGCATGCATATTGGTTTAAAAGGTTTTTATCAATTGTTCAAACAGAAGATATAGATATGGTACAAATTCTGGGTAAATCATTCGACTTTGTCGGTATTTCATTTCAGACATTTGTCAAATTATGTATAACACCTGCAGGCAACACCAAAATATTCTAATAACCTAAAGACAACATGGACATATTGGGCAAATACTTATTCCTCTATTTAATATTAAATAATTATGTTTCAGTTCGAAATTACAGATATAAAGTGATAAAAATTTGTGTAATTATGTCTAAATATAGGATTTGTGGAAGATTCAACGCGGATAAGTTCATCAAATACGAAGCCCGTAGAAATTGGGTAACTAATCTGCACGATAATCACAATAAAATTTGCTGCGCAAGTAATTCAATAGCCCTATACCACAATGTAGAAATTATCATAATATACCTGTGTATGAAATTCACAATGGCCGATATGTAAGTAAACAAGATGACTGTAATGTGTTAGTTATATATTCTTCACTTGCACATGCAATACATAAGAAATAGTTGGTAGCAATAAAGTAGAATCACCTAACAGAATAGTTGTGTAGTTGACAAAAACTGAATCTTGCACTGATGAAAATGTCCTATAGCGGCTGCAAGGGGCTTACACTTTTGTTGTATAATTGTTACCTGCACCTCTTATACAACCTCTTAAATGACTCAAGTGTCCTATTAGGTGTGCCCATTCCGCTTGTATAGCTGTTCTAAGAGGGTTTTGCCAATGTTCTTACAGTATACAATGCTGTTTAAGGAATACTGTATAATAATTCTTGCAGCTCTAATATGAGTGATAATTGTTAGTTGGGAAGTACCGTCTTATGAAAGTAGCTCTTTATCATGTTCAATAAGTAGCTAGGGATGACTGGCTTCTCGAGAGATACGACGATTTTCTGCCATGTTAAAGGCATTTTTAACGTCTAAAGCAACCATAACACAAAGCTTGTTACTAAAATTGGATTACCAAAGTTTCTTTGAGCACCTCATAGGTGCCCTGGTACTTAGGTTTCTACCTACGTGGCTGCTTTCTTATAAAAAATTATAAAATCGAGAAAAATGATCACATGGTCCACTTGCCTTATTCAAAAAACTAGTCCAACCTTCTGGTATTACTTTCAATTCTTGATGAAATACTGCTGTGGGAAACGGGGTACACGTTTTCTAAAATTGGATTAAACCCAGATACAAATATTAATCCAATCTCAGCTTTGTGGAAAAAGTTCAGAAAGTTTCGCAGCGTACCAAGCAAATCGAAAAATTTTATTAAAAACTGAGCTATTTTGCCGCTAACACTCTAAAGCCCTTGCCAGTAGACACGGTGTTTCAGTTTATTATTGCATAACTTTAAGATTCGATAGAACTTTTAAAATTAATGCATAAAGTCTATATAAACATGGGTCGAAAAATGCGGGGCTTCCGAAATACAGGGTGTTTAAATTTATTTTCTAAAATAGTCTTTTTGAATATTTCGAACAACATTTGATGTATAACAGTGAAAATTGGTATACAAGGGTTTTTTAGTACAACAAAACGAACCATGGGCATAGTTTTACTGTAGCCACTAAAGGGCGCTCTCTACTGTACCTGTAGTGTATTAAAATGACCGAAATTTTTTTCTTAGTGCAATTTTTTGATTTTTGAATGAAAAAACTGATTTTTTGCACTTTTCTGCATAAAAAAGCTCTCCTGTGAGTTTTCGTTATAGTTAGCCGTTTTTGAGATATTTCGATTTCTAAGGTTCGATGCATTTTTAATTATCTATGGAAAAATAATAATTTTGTTTACATTTTCGATTTGGGCATTACAAGTAATTAAGATGATCGTTTAGATTGTGTTTTTAAACACAGCAATAATTCCTAACTCCAAATAAACACAAAAAAACAGAATATTAATTTGTTTAATTTTCCAATATTATTTTTAACAAATTAAATTAATTATTTACAACTAAAATGCTATTGGATAGTTAGGACAAACATACAAAGTCTAAAGTAGTTGCTCGAAATGTAAACCCAATTGTTCAATACACAATTCACATCTACGAATGATCGAACGTGGTATAGCATTATTCAAATCACGTGCATTCCTGATTCTGTCTATTAGCATATCTCTTGTGGTTACGGGAGTCTGGTACACTTTTTCTTTTATAAATCTTCACACAAAGAAATCAAATGGATTTAGGTCAGGGGATCGTGGAGTCCAGGCGACTGGTCCTCCACGGCCGATCCATCTTTCTGGATAATTTTCGTCCAGCGTCTAACTATTCTCGAATAATGAGCTGGACAACCAGGCCAATCTTCTTAAATCTAACATAACATCATCCCACATATTTGCACGTTCAGCCTTTAAAAATTCCAAGAAGGTCGCAGCATTAACCTTGCAGGCAAAAGGTAGGGTCCAAATAGTCGATTACGGTAGATACCAATCCACACGTTCACACTAAATTCATGCTGAAAATTTCTTTCCCGAACTGCATGCAGATTTTCATGCGACTAAATATGTTGATTATGAAAATTTACCACTCCACGTCTAGTGAAGCATGACTCATCGGTCCATAAAACGTTACTTAAAAACTCCCTATTATTATCAGTTCTATCAAGAATCCACTGACAAAATGTGATTCTTCGTTCTCCGTCCCTGGCTGTAGTCCTTGCACAGGTTGCAAATGGTAAGGACGTCTATGGTCATTTCTAAGAACACGGTGAACATGGCTTGCTGAAATTCCCAAGGCACCAGAAACTCTCCTAACACTTGTGGTCGGATCTCTATCATACTCACGCAGAATCATACGGGTAAATCTGCGCTTACGAACATTTATGTTTCTCCTTTGGAGATTTCCAAAACCATTTTCAATTATTTGGCGATGCACTCTTACAAATACTGAGCGAGTTGGATGTCGTCTGTTTGGAAATCTTCGTGCGTATTCTCTGGCTGCTTCTGCTGCGTTTCCATTTACAAAGCCATACACAAAATGAATATCCGCTAACTCTTGATTGGAGAATAAAATGGCATTTTTATAAAACTTACAAAAAAAAAACAGGTAAAAGAAACTAAATTTCGTGCATTCACAATTGCAAAAAAACGTTCAGGTTTCAACAGATAACAAAACTAACTGTCAACTAATTGACGCTTAACCTTATTCAGCTTTCAATTTCAAAAATATTTGCAGGCACAGCCTACTTCTGAAAATTATCGAGATACTGACTTTTTAATGATATTTTATCATAAATAATTAAAAATGCATCGAACCTTAAAAATCGAAATATCTCAAAAACGGCTAACTATAACGAAAATTCACAAGAGAGCTTTTTTATGTTGAAAAGTGCGAAGAATCAGTTTTTTTATTCAAAAAGCAAAAAATTGCACTAAGAAAATTTTTTCGGTCATTTCAATACACTACAGGTACAGTAGAGAGCGCCCTCTAGCGGCTACAGTAAAACTATACCCATGGTTCGTTTTGTCGTACCAAAAAACCCTTGTATACCAATTTTCACTGTTATACATCAAATATTGTTCGAAATATTTAAAAAAAAACAATTTTAGAAACACCCTGTATTTCGGAAGCCACGCATTTTTCGACCCATCTTTATATAGACTTTATGGATTAATTTTAAAAGTTCTATCGAATCTTAAAGTTATGCAACAATAAACTGAAACACCCTGTATAAGCTGTTTGAATTTTTAAACATCACTTTCTTCGAATTGATTGAGCTTGAATTCCCAAGATCGCACCCGTCCCTTGTGAGATAAAACTTCAAATGGTCTATGAATGTGCGTATTTTGTAGCGCATATGAAACTGGATTTGCTTACGTGAAAATTTCGTTAATCTGACAGTACCTTAACAACAACATAAAATTCAGAATACAGTGCAAAATATGACGTTTCGAAACACTTCCTGTGATTAATATTGTCCATTAAAATTTCACCTAAAATTCTCTACCGATTCCGAGGATGAATAATCAAGTACCAAAATAGAAGAGAATAACTCATCGCAAGCCACTGCTAATGCAATGTGTGATTATGTTATCCATTTTGGTGTTTGGTTACAGCACGTTCCAGTGAAACTGAATTTGTTTGGATTTGAATCCGTCACTCTGGACTCTGATAGTTAAATTATGACCTGTGAAATTTGATCCGAGTTAATTTTGCTTTCACAGGCACTGCAACTTCTCCGATTGGCTATTCCTGAGCTACCTTGCGAAGAATTTAGACAGCATGGTATTCAGAGAAATATTCGTGGGATTGGCGGAAGAAATAGAGGGCAAGAAACCTAATAAGGAAAGACTGCTGAATGAATCAGATGGAGAAGTAGATCCCGACGCCACATTGAAAGCTAGTTAGGTACAAATTTATTCCTATTTGTGATGTCTGTAGACAAAAAGAAAAGTTTCTAACTTGACTGAATACATAGTATCCCTCGTTACGATACTAACTTATACCTTTAGCGTTTTAAACTTAAAAATGTAGCTGTTTGAGAGTGTTTTACAACCTGATCTGCGAGTAAGCTGCACATAATTGTGTTCTTATCAGTACGTTTAGTTTGAGGCTGGGGACTAGTATATAACATGTTGAAATATAATAGAATTCGCCTGCATTTAGGATGTATGCACCTCATATCATAACCAATGGCGGGTGATTTTTTTTCCAAAAAAGTACATTTCTAATTCAGGAGACAAATTCCTACTGCCGTCTCGTGGCACATTTTTAGACCTATCCTTCCTTTGATAGCTTATTCCAGCTTAATATATGTAGAGTTAGATTGCTAATAAAAACATCACTTTTTTGCTGATATACGATTGCAAATATTTTACGGTTTTCTTGTATGTGGTAAGTAAAGTGATCCTTATAAGTTACCAGGTGCGAAATTTACGTTTTTCGTTATGTGATACTTTATGGATATAATATAAAAGGCTGCCGCTATGATGTTTCAATTTAGAGCACTGCCGATAAAATTCAGAGCGGAGCAGTTATTCTGTAAGTCATTCTTTAAATCGTTGTATATTTTTGTGTTGAAATGTGTTTATTTTATACAAACAAATAAAGATTCTTTGAAAGTACACTAAACCAATTATTTTGTTTTATTATCCTCGTTTAACATAACCATAGAAATGGAGGTCTCTCACCTTTTGAAAACGTTTCATCGGTTCATATCCAGGAAAACGTATTTTATTACGAATAAATATGCGAGGTGCAGACTGGTAATTGCAGATCATTTTTTCATAAATCCAGAAACTTCATCTTTTCATCAAAATTGTTGTAAACAGGGAATAAGTGCCGGTATAACAATTCTGCACCAACGTCTAGACATACAAAAATGAGCGATCGCACTTCCACATACCTCTTAAATTTTCTGGTCTCCAAAAATACCGAATTGCAACGTTAAGTTCAAAAGGCATCTAGGTAGTGTCGAAATAATACGGACTATAGAAGAGGAGCATCACTCCGTCGTTAAAACAGTTTTTGGCAGAATGTCTGGAATGACATTGTTGTATCCAAAATCCTATATGCAGTTTAACTGTGGTGTCTGAGATATAGCAGGTAATGAGGAGAGATGTAACATCCAGGTAATGGAGGTCACCTGCAGTTAGTTGACTGCAGAACAATGCCAAAGTGTTTCAAGTCTCGCAAAACAAGCAGGAAGCATCATATTTGGAACTTGAGTTATAACAGCTTGAGTTCTATCACCTCGTAACTAAAAAAATAAGGTATGCAGGTAAGCTACCGTGATTGCCGAAACGTCGTCAGTAGACAGTATTTCAAGCATATGAGGTTTTATTTGTGGCCAGACAAACATACCTCTTAAATTTTTTGGCCTCCAAAAAATACCGAATTGCAACGTTAAGTTCAAAAGGCATCTAGGTAGTGTCGAAATAATACGGACTATAGAAGAGAAGCGTCACTCCGTCGTTAAAACATTTTTGGCAGGATGTCTGGAATGATATTGTTGTATCCAAAATCCTATATGCAGTTTAACTGTTGTGTCTGAGATATAGCAGGTAATGAGGAGAGATGTAAACATCCAGGTAATGGAGGTCACTTGCAGATAGTTGACTGCAGAACAATGTCAAGAGTGTTTCAAGTGTCGCAAAACAAGCAGGAAGCATCATATTTGGAACTTGAGTTATCGAAGCTTGAGTTCTATCACCTCGTAACTGAAAAAATAAGGTATGCAGGTAAGCTACCGTGATTGCCGAAACGTCGTCAGTAGACAGTATTTCAAGCATATGAGGTTTTATTTGTGGCCAGACAAACATACCTCTTAAATTTTTTGGCCTCCAAAAAATACCGAATTGCAACGTTAAGTTCAAAAGGCATCTAGGTAGTGTCGAAATAATACGGACTATAGAAGAGGAGCATCACTCCGTCGTTAAAACAGTTTTTGGCAGAATGTCTGGAATGACATTGTTGTATCCAAAATCCTATATGCAGTTTAACTGTGGTGTCTGAGATATAGCAGGTAATGAGGAGAGATGTAAACATCCAGGTAATGGAGGTCACCTGCAGTTAGTTGACTGCAGAACAATGCCAAAGTGTTTCAAGTCTCGCAAAACAAGCAGGAAGCATCATATTTGGAACTTGAGTTATCGAATCTTGAGTTCTATCACCTCGTAACTAAAAAAATAAGGTATGCAGGTAAGCTACCGTGATTGCCGAATCGTCGTCAGTAGACAGTATTTCAAGCATATGAGGTTTTATTTGTGGCCAGACAAACATACCTCTTAAATTTTTTGGCCTCCAAAAAATACCGAATTGCAACGTTAAGTTCAAAAGGCATCTAGGTAGTGTCGAAATAATACGGACTATAGAAGAGAAGCGTCACTCCGTCGTTAAAACAGTTTTTGGCAGGATGTCTGGAATGATATATATATATATATATATATATATATATATATATATATATATATATATATATATCATATATCCTATATGCAGTTTAACTGTGGTGTCTGAGATACAGGGTGACTTTGAAGTTGAGTCATTAATTTTCAGATAATGATTGTAGAAGGAAGATAAACCAAAATATGTGTGTGAAAATAAAAAAAAAATTTTACCTTGTTTTATAAAGTATCCTCCCGACAAGTATTTCAGTGCGGACCTGTATTTGATCGTGAGGTCCCCTGTGAGGTCTTAAGTCACCTGATTCACGAGCCCGTTGTGTACTACATTAACAAAGGCACGAGGGGTTGGTTGCACTCGATTGGGAAACCGATTCGCATAAACATGTGCCATTTTTTATTTCGTTTGAGCCACGCAACATACACCACTATTCACTGACACTGACTGTATACAAATGAATAAAATAATTGTAAAAACATCGTTCCAAATTCTTTCGCTTTTTTGTTTCCGATGCGATGAACCGATACGGCGGATTATATCCGTTGTCGCCAAACACGAGCACATAATATTATTATTGAGACAGGGCGGTACTCAAACTTCCAAAGGGCTATAACTTTGTTACTTTAATTTTACCAGAAAAATGGTAAAGGAAAAAAACATTTCTTTTGATCAGATCTACTCACTGTTAAAATAAATGACTCAACTTCGAAGTCACCCTGTATAGCAGGTAATGAGGAGAGATGTAAACATCCAGATAATGGAGGTCACCTGCAGTTAGTTGACTGCAGAACAATGTCAAAAGTGTTTCAAGTGTCGCAAAACAAGCAAGAAATGGGGTGCTGATACTTTACTGTTCCGCTAATGATGTAAAGGCGAGTATTGTTATTCCATCATATTTGGAACTTGAGTTATCGAAGCTTGAGTCCTATCACCTCGTAACTAAAAAAATAAGATATGCAGGTAAGCTACCGTGATTGCCGAAACGTCGTCAGCAGACAGTATTTCAAGCATATGAGGTTTTATTTGTGGCCAGACAAACATGGAGGATCATAAGATATACGTTTGTCATTCGATAGCGAATCCGAAGACCCATCGTTATTTTTGATCTCCTATAAAGTTGTCAGTTTTGAGTCATGCTGTGTTAGAACTCTAGCGACGCGAGGTGTTTTTTTTATTGAACAGCTGAGGTCTTGGTGTAATTATCTGAGAATATCCCTTCAACATTTTTGTATGATTTATGAGTTGGTAGTAGCAAAAAGAAGAAAATGCGACATAAATTTGATATTGCCTTACTAAAGATGACATTGCGTCCGTTAGCATGGACATATCGTCATACTGAAAATCTCAGATAGAAGTTGTGTTTAGATGTGGAAAACTACCTTAAATACAGGGTATAAACGTAATGGTAGTCATTATTGGAATGGGTAATAGGGGAGGTCAAAACAAGTCAAAAAGTTCATATGACCCATGGTCCAAAAGTCAATAGATTTTTGTCTAAGTTGCTTTATATCAACCACAATCACCACAATCTCATTAATTTTTATAATCTGATCTAAAACGTTTTTAAATTGGGTAATTAACAAATAAATGGCATTAAGTTTTTCTAAGTTAAGCCAAAATCTGTAGTCACTAAGTTTCATTAAATTAAATATTTAAAACACACATGACTGCAGCGTGTCGGTCATTCATCACCCTTATCGAACCGGCAATCGGTCGCAAAGGGTAACAGTGGTTAGTTATCGTTTTGCATAGATAAATTATTTTTCGTTTCGCCGAGCAGAGCATCGGGCGTGTTGTTTTGTTTTTGTTCGCGTACGTCTTCGTGTTTATTTACAATGTTCTCGTCAGAATTCAAATCTTGCAGCTCAAATTCATCGCGATAGATTTCGCCAACGGGTACACCCAGACAGAAGGACATTTGTGCAAGTGTACCATAGACTTCGAGATACAGGAAGTGTTCAGCCCACTAATATTCGCACTCGTGAAAGACAGGTTTACTGTACAGCAGGAGGAACAAATTTTAAATATCGTGAAAATCAATGCAGATATCAGCACTCGCCGCGTAGGACTATCGCATACCATAGTCTGTAGAATTCTACTGGAAAATTTCTGTCAGTGGCTTTTGCACAAAGACGTTTTTTTTTATTTTATTTAATAAACCGCATCGACCTATTGGCCTTAGCGGTATCGGATACAGTACGTTATATTTTATGTAGTACATTACAAAGCTGTAAGAAGAGTATCAGGTTACGTATGTTAATATTGGGTGCTAAAATGTCACTCAAAGCCATCGATGTAAGGTTGCATTCCACTCTATGGTGTTCTAGTAATGGGCACTGAACTAATAAGTGTTTCACGGTTAAGTTAGTTTCACATACTTCACACATACAGGGTGACTTTGATGTTGAGTCATTAATTTTCAGATAATGATTGTAGAAGGAAGATGAACCAGAATATGTGTGTTAAAATGAAAAAAAAAATAAAAAAAAATTTTTACCTTGTTT